TGTATCTAGCCGAACCCAATTTGGGCTTCATTATAACATCCTCTTAGTGCCCACTGGGCGGAAAGAGTATATAAAAAAAAGCCCATAGTGATTTTTCTTTTCCCGGCTCAGTTATATATAAGAGAGGGAAAGTATGGCAATCGGTCAAAAAATGATTTCTCAGATTTTTACATTTTTGGACTCAGGACCTTGAAACATCGAGAAATGCAAAAATATTCGTGGAATTTTCTGTATGGACATAGAGTGTGGGGGCATGATTTTGTTCACCCTCTTTGAAGCTTAATTACTCTTGTGCTTTTTGTCGAAATTTTCTGAAATTTTTCAGGGAGGTTTGAGTTTTAGGGGGAATTGATGCTATTAAATATTGGTGGTTAAAGGTCGACGGGGTGGGGAGATAGAGGGGGTCGTGTATCCTATTTCCAGTAGGGTCGAACTTAGTCACGNTCTCATTTTTTTTTTTTAAATAAATAGTTTGAATAGTATTTCTTTACTTAAGTTTCATTCTACTGTGTGTCACGTCTGCTTTTAATAGTCAAACTTCAGGGCTGCCATCTAATCAATAGTGTGCTGGTGTTGTCTTGTCAATATATTAAGCCATCAATCAATCAAAGATTAAAATGAGGAATATAGAAAATATCTTTTATGATTCTAAAAGAAAATAATAATCTTAAAAAACTCTTAATTATGACTTTATTTTTTAAAATCAAGTCTCAAATTTCTCTAATACAGGTCTGAATATTAATTTTAATTTAACTTGAATAATTATAATAAACGAATAAAACAATAATAAAAAAACTTTAATTGCTAGCGATAAAGCATTAATAATTATCATTAAAATTTCAAAAATTTATATGAACACAAGTTCATTAAATTCACTTCATTAATTAAATCATAAATTTTTATATTTAGGTATATTTAGCATTAACATCTAGTTTTCGAATTTCTAATTCCATTCTCATATCTAATCAACATAACTAATATATTTACACAAACATGATTAAGTTTCTTATAAATATTTATTTTATATCAAGTTTAACGGTTTGGAGAANATAAATAAATACAAGAAATCATAAATCATTTACATAAAAAATTTAATAATTGAGATCCAATGACAGACTCATGGAAAAAGACTTAATTTGTTTAAAAATTTTATAATAATCATTATCAATTATATAACGATGATAATTCATTAATAAATCTTTATAAGAAATGGATTGATTAAATCCATATTAATTTTTTATTTAAATAAACGATTTTTAATATAAACCCATTAATTTTATACAATTTTTTGAAAGTAAAAATTATCACCATATATCAATAATTTTAAATATCAGGTTTAAACTTTCCTTATAGGCCTATGTGGTGTTTAAGAAAATATTCTATTTAATTACAATTTATAATTATGTTATAAAACAATTATAATGAGTATTTTATTTATTATTATTTTAATTCGAAAAACAAATAAATGCAAAATATAATTCGAAATACAAATACAAAATATTCTGAATATAAATGTATGATTCATAATTTTTAAAGATAATTATTGATCAATATGATTATTAAGATCGATTGAATTTTGCTTAATTTATAGATGATTAATTTGAAATGAACTTCGACGAAATCTTTGGATTAAATAAACATATATTTATGTCAGTTTTTTGTCATGCCGATGATTCACACCCAATTCTATTTTTGTACGATTTTGATTCAGCAAGACCTGGAAAAAAATCAATTTTCTTTTTACACGATTTTATCTTGGCTGTTATAGAACAGAGGAAAAGTATTGTAATCGGTTGTAATTCTGATCCTCCGAGTTTTTTCATTTTTCTACATTTAAAGATCCCCTAATTAAAAAAAAACACAGAATTTTGTTTTCGTTTTTTTATTAGTCTTTATTTTGCTTTATATCTCAAAACCCCAGGGACCAAAATTTTAAAAATTTGGCTGGTATACTTCTATAAATGGGGTATTGATGATATTACATTTCGGAGATTATAAGTAAGAGGAAGATAGAGGAGGTAGGAGGTTATATTTCAGTGGGGTCAGAGTTTTAATGAAAATTTTAGTCATTACTGGCATTTGCAATTTTTTAATCCATTCCTGCCGTCAAAAATAAGGCTTATCTTTACTTTTGGAAATTGTAATTTAAAATTATCAAATTTCCTTCTTAGTCCCCTTAACTTCCTGTTACGAGTACCGAGAAGGTCGTGCAAGAGCCCTTGCCTGCTTCTGTTTTCGTCTAACACGTTTCAATAAATTTGCCTTTAAAAAAAATCTTAATTTGATTTCAATTTTAAGAAAAAATATTTAAACTTTTTTATATAGAAAATTGCTCTTTTTACTTTATTATTATAATTATTTAACAATTCTTAGAATTTGCATTTAAGGCTGCTACACACGCTGAAGTAAATTTTAAGATTTGGCGTTTTTTCCGACTTATTTGAACGTCTGTAGCGACAATTAATCGTTCATTCCGACTTTATTACTGGAGTGAAGCGGTCAAAAAAAATTTAAATCGAAATCTGACGATTTGTATGTATGATTGCGTTTCTTCTGATTGCTTTCAATACGGAACAGTTTTTGTATGACATTTGGTGTTAAAAGCTAGTGGTGTTTTGGTGTTTAACCGTCACGCCCATATCCCGAGTTAATTCGGGCAAGTTACATAGCGTTACATAAAACTCGGGTATTTGGGCCTCGAATTTTTTTTTTCAATTTTTGGGTGTTTTTTAGGTCTCCAAATTTTTTCAAAAATTTTTACCCGCGCGAATAAATTTTATCGCGATTTTAATCAACCTTTAATGACGCGCGATTAATGCATAATTGTTTTTTAATGTGATTTTTTTAATCAAATTTAATTAATCGTTCTAAAGTTGTAGTGCACGGTTTTTACTTCGGTAAAGTTATTTAAAGCTAGTTTCTGATGTCAAAAACGACCTCCAATAATTTTTTAATTTTTTTAATTAATATATTTTATTATATATAAGTTTAATTAAGTCGGGGGGGGTCGGAAATCGCAATAAAAATTTTAATTTTTTAAAAAATATTTAAAAATATACGGCCAGCTAGTATTCACCCTACTTTAAACCCTTGTCCTCCCGAGACGTCTATGAGAATGTTCCGGGAAATCCCACACCAGATGTTCTCAAGGTCATCCAGCTGTAAACACAATGAGCCATCGGTGTCATATTACGCAGAAAGGCGAGACAATGGAAAATAAAGTTAGAAGCTTTTTCTTCAAAATTAACGCATTTCTTTCGTTTTTTTTTTCAGTTTAAAATATTTTTTATGTTTAATTACAGTACATTAATATCAAAAATTGGAATGTCTCAAGGAGGTTAATTAAAAGAATTGAATAAAAAATAAAATTTTTACGAATAATATAAATTTATTAATTTTTACTGATAAATAAGTTAAAACGTCACCTATCTGATTTATTAACTAAAGTTGAAACGTTTTCTTTAGATATATCTTATTATATTAATTAGTTTATCGTATTATTATTATTATTACTTTCCTGGCTCTGTTATATATAACAGAAGGAAAGTATGGCGATCGGTAAAAACATGATCCCCAATATTTTTACATTTTTGAACTCGGGACCTTGAAATGTCGAGAAATTCAAAACAATTCGGGGGGGTTTTCTGCAGGTGTGGATGGGTGGCACGATTTTGTCACCCTCTTAGGGCTGTTTCACATTATGACCGGCTGGACCGATTGGTCCGACCCGACCGATCCTATAATCGGACCGACTAGTAATAGAAGCATTCACATTGAGTATGATTATATGTCGGTGGCCGATTTGTAAGGACCAATCGGAACGGGTGTTAGAAATCGTTTTAAGTTTTTCTAATTTTTAAAAATATTTTTATAATCTACTTGGTTAAACTTTGCGGAAATTATTTTATTT